AAGGGACAATATTTTAATATTTGGTGTGTAGCCAGCTGTATAATTTTTATACATATATGACAAGGGATATATAGCATATACTTTATATTATAGGCGCATTTGAGCAGATTAAAGAAAAGTAACAGCAAATAATCCTAATATTTAATATTTGGCTTTTTATGTATTATGGTGTGCCTTTGTACCTGTCTTTAAAATTTTTTTAAGCCCTGGCTGGTGTGGCTCAGTTAGCTGAGTGAAACCCCATGCACCAAAAGGTCACCGGTTTGGTTCCTGGTCAGGGCACATGCCAGGGTTGTGGGCTCCATCGCCAGTAGGGCCATTTTCTCTTCCTCTCTCTCTAAAAACCAATAAAATCATATTTTTAAAAATTTTAAAGTTTCTTTTAAATTTTCTTGTGTTCAGTTTTATGGCTAGAGCTTCATATAATTAATCATCAGATTATAGGAAGATGGCATCTCATTATAATTTTAATTAGCATTCATTTGCTTCCTACTGCCGCTTTGCTATTTCTTCTTTTAGGGAACTGCCTGTTTATGCCCTTTGTCCATTTTTCTATTAGGGCAGGCTCACCTGTTTTATTCATGTTCTACACAGAAAATTAAAACATCATTCAAGCGCTAAACCCAGGCTAAATTCTATTATGATGCAAAGTAATTGTAGGTTGTTAATGCTATTTACAAATCGTATTTTATTTTATTTCACCATGGAAATACACAGTTGCACTCACAATTAAGCCTGTCTCCTCAGTAAAACTCAGTCAAGTAGGACAAACACTCCTAAATTTTGACTCTAAAACTGTTCACATTCGTATTGCTGCGAAATACTATTCTAATATCATTATTAAAGCACCTAATATATTTCTGTGTTCGCTTCATTTATTACATGCCACAATGGGACTGCATAGTTCTGGTTCTGCACAATTAGCACTTAGTTACTGTCTTGTCACTTCAGCCCCAACAAGACAAACTTCTTTAATGCAGGAAGCCAGCTCATCTTCGTCAGCCAAGCAGAGCAGACAAATTTTGTTACTCTCAATGCAGAAGGCTTTCAACACAGGAGATTCTGCTTTTACTTTGACATTTCCTTAGGAAATCCTCTTTAATAAAGCCATATGCCACGTGGGCCTATACTGTCAGTAGCTGAATCTTTGTCATAGTATTGTACCTTTTCAAGTGAAACCTAAGGCATAAAGGTAATTTATAGGCACTTTCCCTTAAGCAAAACTTATTGACAACTGACATCGTATCAGACATGTTTATGAATTTTGTTTAACAGTCATTCCATCTTAACTTTTAAATCAAAATGTTAATAGCATAATATTTCTGAATGTTTTAAAACTATTAGCAATAATAACCTTTCAGAATTGGTTTCCCTGGTACAGTATATACCTTCTCTGCCCTTTTTAGGAGGCTCTGGCTAAAAACATAGAGTTCTGAATTAAAAATCTAACAGCTTCTCTATTTTGAAAGGAAATCATTGAAGGTTATTTTGGGTATCTTGTATAATAACTTGAGTCTTGTTCAGAACTGGAAAATTCTGTGTAATAGTTAATCTCTTAAAGGTGAATAATCCTCCCTCCCCTTTAAAAAATACTGTAAAACTAAATGATGGTTTTATAAGAAAAGGAAATGACATGCTTGTTTGTAATGGAATGGACTCAAATATGTAGACTTGTGTAACATTTCATTTTCTTTTATTAAAGGATAAAAGCTTTGTGCTTGGCTCTGTAAGAACAGAGGGGAGTACAATTTAGTTTCTCTCTCAAAGGTATTCAGAGCTAGGAGCGAGGGGGGCCATCAGAGACTCACTCACGGGAGAGTGTAACTGATGGGACACAGATCCATCCCAATGGAAGAGAGGTCCATGCTGGGAGTCTTAGGGAAACATCACACGCTGATGTGCCGGGTTTCATGAAAGACCTCCCTAAGACTAGTTGGGATATAGGAAGTGTGTCTGGTCGGGGTCCGGGGAGATGAGGAAGCCAGGAAGTAGTGAGGACATGGATTCCCAAACAGATGGAGCAGCATGAAGGGCATGGCGCTGTGAGAGCATCTAATAAGTTTGGGAAATGAAAAGTAGCTCAGTGTGCTCAGAGATGAGGCCAGGAATATGGTAGGGATGGTAGTGAGGAATGGAGCGAGGAGCAGGAGATGAAATTGTAATTGATTGAAAATTGAAATGAGTACAAACTTAAATCACTGCATCTAAAATACCTTTGTGATTGAAAACTATTTGATCCTGGAATCAATCCATCCTATCCAATATTTATTGACCACCCAGCCCAAGCGATAGTACAATTTATGGTGGTATTTCACAGGGATCAAAAGAAATAAAACTCATGGTCACTTTACCTCAGCACTACTGTCCAGGTTGGGGAACCTATTACACACTTACAAGAAAATTTGAAATGCCAAAGTAAATGAATGATACACTAATAAATAAGTGCTCTGGGAAAGTACAGTGGTCCCTGATCAGGGAACAGTGATGGATGGAGTGGAAACTGAAGAATGTTTAGCGTTTAAGTTCCATGGTAAAAGGGAAGAACTATCCCTGGCTAGGTAACATTCTAAGCAAAGATGAAAAGATGATCATTGGCAAATAATAATGAAAGCACTTATTTTCCTACTTTATAGATGTGGGAACTTATTTTCAGAGGTGTTAAGTAACTTACCACAGGTGTGAATATATTCTGTGTATTTACATGGTTTAAAATTAGTGCAACTAAGATTCAGATGCCTATCCCTGTGATTACACGGCTGAGCCTGTTTCTTTATCATTATATTGCATTATTCAAACATTTTATTATTGCCTTTGCTATTAATAGATAATTTTTGAATGGGACTGATTCAATGTATCAAGCATTATAAGATGCTTTATTATATTCTTTTATAGAATTTATTGGGGTGACACTAGTTAACAAAATTATACTGGTTTTAGGTGCACAATTCCACAACACAATCATCCGTGTACTAGATTGTGTGTTCACCACCCCAAGTCAAGTCACCTTCCACTGCATTTATTCCTCCTATACCTGCCTCCGCCTCTTCCCTCTCCCCATCCCCCTAGCAATCACCACACTGTTGTCCAGTGTCTATGAGTTTTTTCTCTCTCTCTTTTTTTTTCTCAATCCTTCCACACACCCCTACCCAGGCCCACCCCTCCCAACTGCTGTCAACTTGCCCTCCATCTATGGAGTCTGTTTTACATGTACTAACTCATTTAAAACTCAAAATAACACCTAAGTAGGTATCATTATTGGTCTCATTTTACAGACGAGGAAACTGAAGTACAAGCAACTTAAGTAACTAATTCAAGGTTACACAATTAGAAAATAGTAGACTCAAGGTCTGAACTTTGGCAGTCTGGTTTTAGTCTGTGGACTCAGCGCCCATATGAGGGCTGTTTCAAGAAGGGTATTTTATTTTCTGGCTACGTGGATAGAAAGGTGATTAGATACAGTTGTGTTATAGTAAGGCGGACTTTGGACAATTTCTAGCAGAACTCAGGGTGCATGGAGTGTAGCTTGGTGTAGAAAAGATTGTTACGAATGAAGTGTGTAATGACAACTGGGCTGTCATTGGGAAAAGGCAGTAAATTTGTGCAGAATTCTGAAGTGATGGGACAGGGAGTATATACCTGCACCTCTCACTGCAAACAAGGTTAAGTATCTAATAACTGAGGATGCTCCATGGGAAAGTAAAGACATTGGATATAGGTATTGAACCCACCTCTTTTTAAAGTGTTGTGAAACGGAAATAAATTATAACTGACCATTACTAATCTCAGGGAAATAAGATGACTAAGTTAACATTTTCATTTCTTAGAAAGTATGTTACATATGGAGGCTTCTTAGCAGAGGCTTTTGATAACCTGCTCAAAACTACTCTAAGCCCATATTTTATACAGATGATTTATTAATCACACTTATTTCCTGTACTTTTTCAACTGTGTAAGGCCACATGATTTCAACCAGAATCACTTCAAAATATCTGGAAATTAAATCTGTTATTAATTCCAAAACATCACGATTAGATGGTTTAAAAAATCTCTTTAGGCATCTTGACATATTTTTCTAAATGAAGGGAAAATTAATTGAACCGACTATATCACAAGTAATGATGATTACTTTCAGTTTGCTTTCAGGAATTTTAGCCCTACCTATTAATATACGAACAATGTTCTCTGGCCATTGCTGCTTTTAAAATATTTTTTTTCTTTAAGTGCTAAGTCTCTTAAGGAGCTGGTTATATAGCTTTGGAAATTAGCCTGCCATACAAAATCACAGTTCTAGATCATTTTGTTAAGTGGCTAATGTCTGCATTGCTGTTTCTTTCATTTCCTCATGCTTATATTTGAAACATTTTAAAGGAGGGTACCAATTTTAATTGCATTCCAACCATAATTTGCCTTTAACCATAGCTTTCCAGGCTGTTTTGTTTGAGTTAGATGTATAATTGTGACATTCCTCACCCATGCTCTGTTTCATTCTGACCTTTAAGTATAAATTGAAATGCACATAGAATGTACTTTATCCAGTTGACAATACATTAGTCACTAAATATTCAGGTAGGAATATTTCAGATGAATTCCATGTATACTACCATCTCATCGAATGGTAGGCAGGCCTTTTTTAAAAAAATTATGAAAATGAATGATTATAACACCAAAAAACACATCTAGATAACTTTGTAGCCTCATGCTTTACTGCCTCCAGGTAAGAGCATGGGTCTTGAGTCCAAAGAAACCTGGTTCCTTTCCGTCATGTACCACATGCATCCTACCTACAAAACCGTGGGCAGGTATTTAAATTCTGGGAAGAAGCCTACGGTTTTTCATCTTTAAAAAGTCAATGATAATATCTGTAATCTAGGTTGGATGAAAGGAATAATGTAATCACATGTATACATGCTTCGTGTTAGCACCTGGTAAATACTATATGAAAAGTGGCTATTATAATGACCAACATTTCAGCCATTTCAGCCATATTTCATTTCTACTCTTTATCATAAACTTAAAAAAGTGACTAATATTGGAGATAAGAAAAGCTGAAGTTTCATCTTAATATCTTGAGTGGAGAGTTGAGATTTGAACCCTATTCCTTGCAATATGCTTCTCTACCTTTCATATATTTCTTATTATAACATCCCTACAATCCAGTGATGTAGCTGTTTTATCTGACCCTCAGAGAACTAACTCAGGAAAAGTATGAAATGTACTTTATATATTTTTTCTCACTCTGATTAACCTGAGTTTATGAACCTACAAATAAAAATTATTTAAATTTCCAGGCCTCTGAAGGTAAAAAATGACATAATAGGACATGACAAAAAAACAAAAAACACGTTTTTATTTAATAGTGAATAGAATTAAGGTGATTGTTAAAAATTATATTGAAAAAGTAAAGCAAAGTTTCAGACACTATAGAGTTGAAAAAGTATTTCCAATTTAGTTGTTTTTTAGGGAAAAAAAACCTCAGTAATATCAGTTGGAGCATGAGTGTTTTACTAAATTTATTTACTTTTGACATTTCATTATAGGCTTCTTAGTTCAAATAAATTTCAATATTAACATAAATTTAAAAATTTTGAACAGTAATCACATATCTTATTCATGCTATTTTATATAATCTCACTAAAGTTAAGTATTTTTAAAATACATTTTTATCAATTTCAGAGAGGCAGAGAGAGGGAGAGAGAGAGATAGAGACATCAATGATGAGAGAATCAATGATTGGCTGTGTCCCATACGTTCCACACTGGGGATCGAGCCTGAAACCCAGGCATATGTCCTAGCCAGAAACTGAACCGTGACCTCCTGGGTCATAGGTTGATGCTCAACCACGGAGCCACTATGGCCAGGCAAAAGCTAAATATTTAAATTGGCTGTTAGGCCTGTCCTTTTCTCCAACATGTCTTCGTCCTCAAGATAATCTGCAAAAACTGGTCTATTCCAACACCACTTTTAAACACCATATTTACAGTTTACAGTATGCAGTACAAAGAAGATGTGCTTAAAATCCAAACTTGAATGTTCATCGCATCCCGTAGTCTTGACCACACACAACTCCAGGATTTCAAGATCAGCACATGCTCTGTATTTTCAATCAACATCATCAGCAGGCAGTAATCCTGGGGAAAAAAAAGTAAATTCCACAAATAAACAGACCAATCTTCTTTAAGAGGAAAGCTAATTCTTTTCAATCTACTTTTTTTATTACACCATTTTCCCCTCTATCTACTTAAGCTAGAATAAGGATAAATTTCCAAAGCTACCCAGTTGGAAAATAAATAGGCTCACTGTTTGTCTAGCATTCCAATCTTTGCAAATGTAAATCGGTCCAACTGCTCCTCATTTAAACTCTCAACTTCAGAAGACATTAAAGGGTGCCTTTCAGTACACAGTTTAATCTATCCACTAAGATTTCTGCTTGAGCATCATTTGAAATAGACTATCTGATAAAGAGAGACCACTATCAAAGGTCAGTGAGGTCAACTTGTATAATTACCAGTAGTTTTACTGGGTCAACTCTACCAGACACTGCTGTTTGAAGGTTAAATTGTTACAATTAAAAATATATACAGATCTCCCCAGAGTTACTTTATTGTTAAATGTACCAGAAACAAGCATTTATTTCTGACCTTAATTGTATCCAAAGTGTCACCATGGGGAAATTACACAAAAAGAGCACTTATTTTGTTTTATTGAATAAAATAATAATTAGCTCCTGGGCACTAGTTTATGTATCACATCAATATTAAGAACTTTGTTTAGGTTATGCCCTTTGGTTTAATTGAAAATGCTCCAAGAAATTACATTTACTATTTTATAGTTGATAAACTTGCTACAAACAAAGGAATATGGCCCAACATCAGAGTCTGGTGCTAAAACAACTTTCACTTCAGAATGACCACTTCCGAATTACTAGAATTTAATCACATTTTTATAACAAAGAGTAAAAGGAAGCTTTAAATGGAAAGCTTTAAAATGGGCTATTTTCTAATTGTTTGATTCATTTTAATGCCTTTATTTATTTTTTTGTAAAGTGCCTTAGTGGCCAATCATGAAATCTTCCATAATCACTAACAGTGAAATACTATCATTCCTTCTTGTTTTAATGATCAGCTCCATGTTATAGATCAGTTCCATTTTCTTTCTAATGTGGTAAAATAAAAATAAAAATCACCTTTGCTGTCCTCTATATTTTTTTCAATGTTCCTATGATTTTTCTATATAAAGCTGGATTTCAAAGTTCGTGTACAATGCTTTAGTTGTTGGCAATAAAGGGAACTTTCGAAGCCAAGCTTTCTACTTCAGGGAATTACCATGTGAAATTATTATTAGGAAAAGAAATCTTCAGATCTATAGATCTGAGTGAAATGGTCTTAACACATTTTATTTTATTTTATTAATATTTTCAGATTTTGTGTCGGAGACAAATTTTTCCTCAAGAATAACATGATCCTTTGCCAGACGGACTACGAGGAAGGTTTAATGAAAGAAGGTTATGCACCCCAGCTTCGCTGATCTATCAACATCACCCTATTAAGAACACAAAGCACTACATTCTTTTATCTTTTTTGCTCCACATGTATATAAGAATTGACACGGGAACCTACTGAATAGCGTAGATATAGGAAAGCAGGATGGATATATGAAATAAAAAGGGGACTGCATCTGTATGTAGTGATATTGCCCCCGTTCAGAGTTGAATGTTTATTATTAAAGAAAAAACATAATGTACATATGGCTGGTTTTTTTGCTTGCTATTCCTTTTTGTGTCACTTGGCATGAGATGTTTATTTTGGACTATTGTATATAATGTATTGTAATATTTGAAGCACAAATGTAATACAGTTTTATTGTGTTACCATTTGTGTTCTGTTTGCTTCTTTGTATTGTTGCATTTAGTACAATCAGTGTTTAAACTTACTGTATATTTATGCTTTCTGTATCTATCAGCTATTTTAAATGAGCTGTAACTTTCTAGTAAAAAATTGAAGAGCAAATCTCACGAATGATACACATATAGATAAAGCAAGTCTAGCAACATTAAAAAAACTAAAAAATAAAGACACACACAAAGCATTTTAAGCAACATTCACTATGATTGCCACCATGATTTAGTCTATCAGTGTTCTCTTTATAACCCCCTATTTTCAGGGGGTTAAGATCAGCTTTAAAAAAATGCATAAAAATTTCATCGTAAAGCACTTTCATTTTATACCAACGTGAAAAGTGCCACTTTTAGAATAACTTTAAAGCTTAACAGTTATCCTTTTAATACCCTGTGTGTGTGTGTGTGTGTGTGTGTGTGTGTGTGTGTGTGTGTGTGTGTGTGTGTGTGCGCGCGCGCGCGCGTGCGTTCTTTACCTATATTACGGTTTTGCTGTTTGTTTTTTTCAGCCATTAACCCCTTATGTGAACTAGTGCCTTTGGGTATCATGTAAATTTTTTCCAAAGGGTTACTTTAAAAAAGTATTAACACAATTATAAGATAACTTAAAAATGATTAAATTTCTTGTACAAATGTTGCCCAGATCGCTCCATAAAAGCTGAGTGTTTAATAACTTGTGGCCTGATAAATTTCTGGCACTAAAAGGATTTGAGTGTGAATCTACTGAAATCATGATAATGCACATTGACGCTATGATGATATTTGAGTAGTGAGGTTACTTTTGATCGGGCAACACAGTGCTCATAGAATCTTCTAGAAGAAGAGAAACAAAGGGATTGATAAAAAGCTGAGAACTGGTGATTCTATATTTTTCTGTATTACATGCCACTTATTTTAATGTTTAAAAGTGAACACTTTAAAGTTTGATGTGTCTTACTCTTGCTTTCTGTAATTACCCACTCAGTATACATCACACTTAAGCTGAAATCTGTCTTTCCATTTTTTAAAGGTGAAATATTATTTCCTTACCTACATGATAGCTGATAAGAAGAAAATGTTCTAGAAACAGAAATTATGGAGACTGATTATTTAGATCATAATTTAAGAAATTAAAGTGAGTCTATAACACCCTCTTTCGGATTGCTCACATTTTGCTTCTTTGCTTCTGTTCCCTAATAATCAAACTACATGTTACCAATTTAACCCCTTGCAGGCACAATGAACCCTATTTTTGCTAGAGCAAATTTAGCACTGTGCTTTTTATTTTTTTCTTTATTTTTTTTCTTGATCACTTGTATGGGAAACAATACTTCCCAGTGTTATTTACATACATATTTTGTCCTGCCAATATCTGTATTGCAGATGAAGATTAAGTGTGATACCTGAGTTCTTGGTTTGGGGCCAAAATATTCAGCTGCAAATAGTGCTGCTGTGGATTTGAGTTGTTTTAAAAACAAAGCTTTATTATAGACATGCATGTAAATCTGGATATTGCCTCTCGTTTTTAAGGAAATGATTCTGTGGAAAGTGAATGATATGTATTTTTACAAATGCTTCATGGTTAAGAGTGTTCAAGTCACATGTCTCCCAAATTCAAGATACACCTAGAAAAAAAAAATTTAAAAATAGCTATTTGAGGCCCATAATATAACTATTATTTTAGCCTTTGAGCCTTACATTTGCTTCATGAAAAGACTTGCAGAGCCAAAACTAAAAACATCAAAACAAAAACAGAACAACAAAAGGATGCAGGGGAGATAGTGAGAAATGGTTTTCATAACACTGCTGCCCCAATAGCCCCCCTTTAAGAGTTGCTTGACATTCATGTGGATGTACAGTTTTAATTGTCGGTATCTTTTTCAAATGATCTTTTAAATATTTAACTGGTTTTGCATATGTTAAGATCAATATGTCAAAATACCTGTAAACTGGGAACAAACTGTTCAACTATCCTTGGGACCCAAAGACCAAACCACGTTTCTTACTGCCTTTTATTTTGCATAATCCTTTGGGAATTAATTCTTATGCTTTTCCTGCAAAGGAAATTACCCACCTGGATTAAAGATTAAGGCCTTAATCTCCTTAGATTATCATTAATCCCTATGACACAGAAATAGACCCTTTTGTAACTAATTGCCCATAAAGAGTAGCATTTTTGACCTGAAGTATTAAGCTAATTGTCTTGACTATTTCCAAGTCCCTGAATTGTTGTCAACTTTCCCCTTTGTGTTGTGTAGCCCTGGTGGCACTTAGCTTGTTTTCCGATGCCTCCAGTAGGACACCTCCAATGGAGCTTTGATTTCTCAAGCAGGGAGAGCTCGCTTCCTAATGTGCACCACGCATCGGCTGCCTCTGATGAAGGACCAGGAACCTCCAGTTCCCCAGAATGCTGGCTGAGTTTAAAAGCTGACCTGTATTTGTAATTTCACTTTCATCTTGCTTAATAAATATCTGCTGGATTCTTTCATTCATTTTTTTTATATTTGGATTTATGTTTTTAATAAAAGGGGTATGACACTATTTGATTGCTCTTAATTGGCAACATCTAGATGACATCTAGAAAGCATGCATTAAGTGCATGAAAAAAGAAAAAAAATGTATGTAAGGACGTTGCCTTTTAAAAGGTAAATCATAAGCATAAACAAAGTAGCTCAAATGCTTTCTCCAAATATTATACTTAAGATCTCTGAGCTAGGTAGTTTACTGCTATTTACTTTTGTGGGGAAAATAAAGCTGTCAAAATGAAGGTAGCAATTACCGGGTATAATTTTGCACATACATACAAATTTTAAGTGATCTTTCTGAAAGCAACTGTGTTGGCAGACTAAATTTCAAAACCTCTCTTTTCTGTACGATGAATTAAAGCAAAAAACTCAACTCAATCCTACATTTCCGGGGATGAGATGGTGTGCCTTCCCTGAAACTGGGTGCTGAAGGTTATATCTGCAGTCAAACCTACAATATACAAGTGGCTTCCTTTTAACTATCCTTTTAAGCAAGCCACCCTCAGAATAGTCACTTAAACAATTTCATACAAATGATACAGTCTCAACATGCTTAGTGTTCACTTCAGTAAGTTGCAGGAACAATCTGCATGTTTACTGTAATAGGCCATTAGCACAGAATACAGTTTTAGCAAAAGCCTTTTGATGATTACTTTTTCTTAAAAACGCCATCCTATGTAATAAAAGCCTAATATGCTAAGTCTGTCGTCAGGTCAGCTGTTCAACCAATCAAAGCATAACATGCTAATGAGATGCTAAGGCTGCTCAACCACTCGCTATGATGTGCACTGACCACCAGGGGGCAGACGGTCCAACTGGTAGGTTAGCTTGCTGCTGGGGTCCAGCCAATTGGTCCAACTGATCAGGACTGAACAAAATGGGCTGGACATGCCCTGGATCCCTCCCGTGGTCCCTCCTCAGCTGGCCAACCTCCCGTGTCCCTCCCTGGCCCCGATTATGCACCAGTGGGGTCCCTCATCCTGGCCTGTGCCCTCTCACAATCCGGGGTCCCTCAGGGGATATTAGCCAGTTTCAGCCCAATCCCCTGGGCCAGGCCAAGGGACCCCACTGGTGCATGAATTCATACACCAGGACTCTAGTTATAGATATTTCTTAAATGTGATTTTAATGCAATTTAAGGTAACAGAAAGCCAAGTTTTAATAGAGCTATGAATTCAAGGAGCATTTATTGAGAACCTACTATGTGACAGGTCTAGCCCAGAGCACTAACCTCCTGCTGAGCAGACTTATGGTGCTTGGAACCTCAGATGACTTTAAGGTGTCTTTGTACTGATTTGTACTCATCTCAAACCTACTGATAATGAGCACACAAAAGCAAGTACGATCTTCCTCCTATTCAGCTTGTCATTGCTCTGAAAGGCCCAGAAAATATCTCAGGTAATCAATGTGTTCAGAGAATTATCTCACACAAATTACTCATTAACTCAATAGCACATAATAAAAAAGAACATCAATTAATTAATGAGTCACCCTCAGATCACTCTGATTACAAAAGAGCTCTGCTGAAACAGCGGTTATAAATGGAGCTGCCTCTCTTCCTTCATTGTTTGCAATTGGCCCATTATTTGGCTGAAACCAGTGTCATATTTAACACATGCCTGTAGGTAATGGTGTGATTAGTTTCATAAATGAAGGATTCTGAAAGTCGACTGCTTGTAAGACCTTAGAAATGGTCAGAACATTAAAGACAACTCTCATTTTTACAATAGCTTCATTTGCAGCCAAGTTATTAAAAGGGTATTATCTATCCAAATGGTATACTTCTGCTACCAGCGAGACTCTGAGACCTCGGCTCTTGCCTTCTTGCAGGAAAGGTTTCAATTAAGAGACAAAGTGCAGCAAAGCAAGCAAGAGTGTATTGACCACAGCAAATGCACACTCAGGACAGTGAGACAAGGAAGGGCTTAGGCTGAGGAGAAGCCTCAGAGAGCCCAGGTGGGCTGCTTGGCTCGCTGGGAAGTCAGAGAAAGGGGGGCCTTGGAGACAGGCTCGGAAGGTTAACCCTGGACGAGCTGATGCTGCCCATGACTCCCTGGCTGCAAGTCTCCTGGGATCCCTTAGCAGCGGTTCCCAACCTGGGGGTCGCGACCCCTTTGGGGGTCGAAAGACCCTTTCACAGGGGTGGCCTAAGACCATCGGAAAACACATATATAATTACATATTGTTTTTGTGACTAATCACTATGCTTTAATTATGTTCAATTTGTAACAATGAAATTGGGGGTCACCACAACATGAGGAACTGTATTAAAGGGTCGCGGCATTAGGAAGGCTGAGAACCACTGCGGGCTTAAAGAGAAGAAAGGGGGTAAAGGAATAGCACAGGCGTGCTCCCTGGGGGAGAGCTTGCACTGGGACTTCGTGTGGAGGGTATTTATCTCTCTCTCTTGCAGGAGGGAATCTTAAAGGAGGTCTCGGGGAGGGTTTCAATAAAATATTTATCAGCTTTCCAGGTGTGCTTTTCCAGGGTCATGGTCTCCACTGATTGGTCGGAAATAGGGCCGGGGTCATTAGTCATGGCTGCTGGTTCTGAGGCAGCCACAGTGTCACTTGTCTGGTTTTGCTGCCTTTTTTTTTTTTTTTTTTTTGACTTAAATA